GAAGCTGCGCCCGTGCGCACTTGGGGAGCGGGGGAGCGCGCTTCAGCAGACAGGTGGCCGGCATGGGCGAGTCCGGGCAGCAGGTGGTGCTGGACGGTGAGCTCATCCCAGCCCCGCCCGGCACGACGTGCTTCACTGGGCCTGGGGGCTGCCTGCTCGAGCTGAGGCCCCGCGGGAGCCAATCTCCGACGATGTGACTTCTTCAGGCCCGGCTTTCTCGCCAGGTTTCGGCCCATGGGGCCCCTGTTGGCCCCCAGGACGATCAAAAACGGATCCGGGTCGAAAACTACTCCCAGGAAGGGGTCGCGAGTTCTGGGGGGCTTTGAATTGAAAGAAATGATCGTTGGATGTCTGCGGCGGTAGCCACGTTTTGCCTACCCCTCACCGCATTCGCTCGGCATTTGGATTGGCTGGGATGCCATCCTCCTCCTCCTCCTCCTCCTCCTTTCTCCTCCTCCTCTCTCCTCCTCCTCCCTTCTCCACCTCCTTCGCCTTCTCCTCTTCATCCCCCCTCCCTCTCCTCCTCCTCTCCTTCTCTCCTCCTCCTTCCTCATCCTGCTCCTCCTCTTTCTCCTCCTCCTCCTCCTCCTCTTCCTACTCCCACCCCGCTGGGTGACTCAGTGGTTCTTCAGTAGGCACTTCATAATTTGCTCGCTCTCGCTCCCGCTCCGTCCCTGGCGGAAGGCCAGAGACGCTCGGCTGGGCCCTCTACATGGACGGCAGCTGCGTGGCTGTGGGGGAGTCGGCGCCCTCGCCGCAGGCCTTCCCGATGGGCATCCCGGTGACCCCGGTGCCGCCCCCGCCAGCTCCTGCCCCAGTGGCGCCACGGCCGCCGCCTGCGCCGGTCTTCAGGGTTAACCTGGAGGTCCGAGTCTTGCATTTTTTTCACGCCACGTGGGCCCTGGGGCCATCACATATCGATTTGTGTCCACAAGTGCAGCAGAAATATTTGGTGTAAGAGTCTGGTCGCGATTTTTCGCTAGTTTTTGTTCGTTCGCAGCGTAGGATCTTGAGGAACGGTGCCGATGCGGTTACCCTTGCCTTTTTTTGCGCCATGTTGGGCCTCCTGGGAGGCACTCGTCGCTCAACTTCTGGTCAGAACGCACCCCAAGAGGGTGCGCGGAGTAGCGGTAGCGGTATCCGTCGGGGTCCCCTAAAGAGACCGTTTCTTAATCCCCTGGCGGTCACGTCAGATTCTCACCGGCACCACCTGCGATCACCCAAAAAAATAATTCATTCACAGACAGCACCAGTACACATCATAACGTGACAAGTGGGGGGAAGGGGGGGCAGGGTGGGGCTGGTCAGGGGCGCGACCGCGAATCAAAGCAAACTTACTCAAACGGGTTGGTGACCACACCGTGTGTCGGGGGAGCGTAAGACCCGGGTTTGCCAGGACTCGGGTTCGCCATCGTTTTTTGACGACCGCGACTCGGATTTTGACGAGTAGGAGTTTCGTTGGATGTCTGCAGCGGGAGGCCTCGTCAAAATGCAGGCTCGGCCTCGTCATTTTTTTGACGACCTCGTCGGGGATTTCCGAGTCCCCCGTACCCGGGTCTTACGTCTCCCCGAGTGTGGTGAGTCAGTGGTAATACGGGTCCCCGCACGGTTTTGGGACGCGGGTCCTTCTCCGAGGGCGCCTCGGGCGACGGGGCGATCAAGGGCCGAATGCCGTGTGGCGACGGACTGCGCGGTGCTGTCGATGCGGACTTCCGAGGTCACCACCACGCAGCCCGTCACCACACGGTTCGGAACGATCGAAACGGGTACGGAAAGAACAGGTACAAAGACCGACAGCAGATTTTGTTCATTTTGAACAGGACTCGCTGTCGGCGTCGCCGCGGACGGAATTCGTTTGAGACAGAAGGCCGCCTGCCCAACAGCGTTTTTTTGGGGGGGGGTTTTGGGCAACATGTGTTGTTGTACATTGTGTTATTTTTTTCCTTGCCCATCTCCGGCGTCCAAAACGGTCTTGGGCCCCCGATGTTTATTTTGCTTCCCCAGGTCTTGCGCGGGGGGATCGCGCCCACTGCGTCGCAGGCGATGCCCCAGGGAGTGTCCCTCGACACATCCACGGGGATGTACACGGCGAACATCCGCGTCCGCGGCAAGTTCCGGTTTCTCGGCGAGTTCCGCACCCCGGAGGAGGCCTCCCAGCGGTACCAGCAGGCGCGGAGCGAGTTCTGAGCGCGGGGCGTTTTTCCTCGCGTCCATCGGCGCGTGTCCTGGCGTCGCCGTCTTGCCTCGTGCTGCGTGTATGATGTTAGCGCTGCGCGGCCGCCGTGCACTCAGGCGAAATCTCGTCGTGCCCCTGCTCTTGTCGCTACTCACCGTCAGAAACGCCGAATTGCTATTGTGATGGACGTTGTGTCGAATGGTGCGTTAGGGCTTCATGAGCGCAACGCACCAAGTTCGCCATGACGGGCAATGGATGTCATCCAAGGCGAGGTGTGAACACGCTGGATGAACACCTGTTTCTCTTTTTTCGCTCTCCCCTCCCCACGACCCTCCTCTCCTTGCACTCGGAACTACAAGGATCTTTGCTAGCTCAGTTGGAGCCCAATCGGTTCCTGCGCACCGTTAGGTATGCAATGGAATTGTGTTTGCTGGCGTTTCGGGCCTTCAGTTTTTGCACATAATGCGACAACATCGGGCATGCCTGAATGTAGCGCACAGCGTGCCGACATGTGAAAGAGCGTGTTCTACCGCTGCTGGCGGAAAACCGGGGGGGGTCACTACCGGTTCGAACCCCTCCATCCCCCCCCCCCCTCCGGAAAACCTGGGGGGGTCACTACCGGTTCGACCCCCTCCCCCCCCCTCCCCCAGTTCATCATGAAAAGGGGGGGGGTCACTACCGGTTCGAACCCCCCCCCCCTCGAAAACCGGGGGGGGTCACTACCGGTTCGAACCCCCCTTCCCCCCCCCTCCCTCGAAAAGCCAGTGGGGGTGCGGACAGTGGTGGGGACAGTGGTGAGGGGACAGCGGGACAATGGTGGGGACAGTGGGACAGTGGGACAGTGGTGGGGACGGTAGTGGTGGGGACAGTGGTGGGGACAATGGTGGGAACAGGGGGGACAGTGGACAGTGGTGGGGACGGTGGTGGTGGGGACAGTGGTGTGGGGACAGTGGGAATGAGGTGGAAACAGTGGGACAGTGGAGGGTACAATGGTGGTGGGGACAGTGGTGAAGGCGGTGGCGAGGACGGCGGTGGGACAATGGGACAGAGGTACAGTGGGGACAGTGGTGGGGACAGTGGGGACAGTGGTGGGAACAGTGGGACAGCTCAGTGGGACAGCGGAGGAGTCAGTGGGACAGTGGGGATAGTCGGGCAGTGGTTGGGGTCGTGGAGACAGTGGGGAGAGTGGAACCGTGGTGGGAACAGTGGTGGGGACAGTGGGGACAGTGCGACAGTGGTGGGGGCACTGGTGGGGACAGTAGGGACGGTGGTGGAACCAGTGGGGACAGTGGTGGTGAGGACAGTGGTGCTGGGAACAACAGTGGGGGATGTGATGCGGACGGTGGTAGGGACCGGGAGTCGTTTGCTGGCGGTGCGTGTGGGGGGGGGGGGTCGAAACGGTAGTGGCCCCCCTCCGGTTGGTTTTCGAGGGGGGGGGGGGTTTCGAACCGGTAGTGACCCCCCCGTTTTCCAGATCCGAAGGGGGGGGGGTGGGAGGGGGAGGGGGGTTCGAACCGGTAGTGACCCCTCCCGGTTTTCGAGGGGGAGGGGGGGGGGGGGAGGGGAGGGGGGGTGCCGGCGGAGCCCCCCCGGGTTCCAGAGGAAAAGGTTGGCAATTTTCCACAGTAAAGCGGCGGTGGATCACGCTCTCTCCGACATGTATATGTCTTCTTATCAGTGCATACTGCAAGGATCGAGGGTAACAGACAGGACACAACCGACCGACACTAGGGACGACAATCAGTACGTTTAGCGCGATAGTTGCATCGAGCCAGCACACGATCTTGGTTCTTCGCAAATCTGCCCAGGGCATTTTTTGTTTCAATGCCGTTTTTACTTCGGCCTGTTGGAAACCATGTCTTTTGAAGCGTCTTTTCAGCGTTCTACTTTTCTATCGCTTCCTCAGCACCTGGTTGCACTGTTTAACATTGCCGTCTACGACGTCCTCAGTTCCTGCTGTTGGAGTGCAGTCCGCAGCCCTCGTGCTCGCTCAGTCCGACCTGCTCGCCGTCCTCGGAGTCCCTCCTAGGGTGCCGGGCCTCTGGGCCCGACGGCCGATTGCCCCTCTTTGGGCCATCGGGTCTCCAGGCTTGTTTCGGGCCTGTGTCAACGGGTCTTCGAAGTTGTTCGTGTTTCAAATTTTGTCCTGCGAGGGAGAACGGCGGCGGAATCGAAACATGGACGTGAACACAGCAGGAAAGGCAAGGAACACCCTTCGACCAGAAACTTAGCCTGGCGAAGGACCCAACCATATGCAGCTGCGAGTACCGCAAGGATACCAGTGTCAAGCTCCCCCCGACCTTCGGTGGAGATCCCTATGGGGCCACGAAACATGTGAGGGGTGTGCCGAAATGGGTGTTGGGGTGTGCCGAAATGGGTGGTGGGGAGGCATGCGAACCCTGCCACTGGGGCCTTCGGTGGAGCTCCCTATGGGGCCACGAAGCGTGTGAGGGGTGTGCCGAAATGGGTGGTGGGGAGGCATGCGAACCTTGCCACTGGGGCCTTCGGTGGAGCTCCCTATGGGGCCACGAAACGTGTGAGGGGTGTGCCGACATGGGTGGTGGGGAGGCATGCGAACCCTGCCACTGGGGCCTTCGGTGGAGCTCCCTATGGGGCCACGAAGCGTGTGAGGGGTGTGCCGAAATGTGTGGTGGGGAGGCATGCGAACCCTGCCACTGGGGCCTTCGGTGGAGCTCCCTATGGGGCCACGAAACGTGTGAGGGGTGTGCCGAAATGGGTGGTGGGGAGGCATGCGAACCCTGCCACTGGGGCCTTCGGTGGAGCTCCCTATGGGGCCACGAAACGTGTGAGGGGTGTGCCGAATGGGTGGTGGGGAGGCATGCGAACCCTGCCACTGGGGCCTTCGGTGGAGCTCCCTATGGGGCCACGAAGCGTGTGAGGGGTGTGCCGAAATGGGTGGTGGGGAGGCATGCGAACCCTGCCACTGGGGCCTTCGGTGGAGCTCCCTATGGGGCCACGAAACGTGTGAGGGGTGTGCCGAAATGGGTGGTGGGGAGGCATGCGAACCCTGCCACTGGGGCCTTCGGTGGAGCTCCCTATGGGGCCACGAAACGTGTGAGGGGTGTGCCGAAATGGGTGGTGGGGAGGCATGCGAACCCTGCCACTGGGGCCTTCGGTGGAGCTCCCTATGGGGCCACGAAACGTGTGAGGGGTGTGCCGAAATGGGTGGTGGGGAGGCATGCGAACCCTGCCACTGGGGCCTTCGGTGGAGCTCCCTATGGGGCCACGAAACGTGTGAGGGGTGTGCCGAAATGGGTGGTGGGGAGGCATGCGAACCCACTGGGGCCTTCGGTGGAGCTCCCTATGGGGCCACGAAACGTGTGAGGGCCATTGCCACTGGGGCCTTCGGTGGAGCTCCCTATGGGGCCACGAAACGTGTGAGGGGTGTGCCGAAATGTGTGTGGTGCATGCTTGCAGCCCTGCACCTTGGGGCGGTGGAGCTCCCTATGGGGCCACGAAACGTGTGAGGGGTGTGCCGAAATGGGTGGTGGGGAGGCATGCGACCCTGCCACTGGGGCCTTCGGTGGAGCTCCCTATGGGGCCACGAAACGTGTGAGGGGTGTGCCGAGATGGGTGGTGGGGAGGCATGCGAACCCTAAGAGGGAGGAGGGCGAGGAGGAGGAGGAGGAGGAGGAGGAGGAGGAGGAGGAGGAGGAGGAGGAGAGGAGGAGAGGAACGCGGGGCACCGTCTCTTCCAAACGAGGACCCAACACCACAGGATGGTTGGGAACAAGAAGCGGTAAACCATTGTTGATCCACAGCGAGGGGCCTAACACACGCAACAACAACACTACGCTAAAAATGCCGACAAATCTGTCGCGAGTTTTTTTTAGCGTGTTCAGCCTGGCGAGAGCCCAAAGTGCAGCAAAACGGTGGAAACGCCCAGGGCGTTTTTAAGAAGAACCTAGCACACCATCAAACCAATACAGCACAGAATAGGCACGCCTCCAACAGATATTGTCACGTCACGTCACCAATGCAGGACAGCATAGGCACGTCACGGGGTCTGTCTCGCTCACTGGTCATATTGAGGGGGCCGAACGGTCGTTCACTGTCCCTGGGCGCGTGGCTGAAGTGGAGTTCTGCGATGCGGATTGTTGTTGCGTTGTTGCGCTGATGTTGTTTCGGTGTTTCCTTGTTTCGTGGTTTAATGCTTTCGTTGTTGACTCTCCCGTGGGGTAACCATTGTTTCTTTATAGTGAAGTGCTTCTCACGGGGCTCGCACCATTCTTTGCAAGCGACATCGAAGGGTCACCATGTGCTTACAAGGTGCGAAGGGAAAACGGAGGGCCCCGAACTACAACAACGACTCCCCCCTGACATTGTGAGGAAATGTATTCCCAAGTCACGCTCTTGCGCTGGTTGTCCTCTCAATGTAAGCATGAATCGCGTTCTCGCGTGGGACTTCCCCGACATTTATTCAGACGCCGCGCCCTGGACACTCAGGAATCACGCTCTCGCTGTGGATTTCCTGACGATTTTTCAGAATCGCGCTATCGCTCGAGACTTCATCGCGGTTCATGCAGGGGCGCACACTTCGGCTCCCGCTTGATCGACCTGACCGCGTGGGCCCGCCTTCCTGACCCGCGCGTTAGGGTCTACCCGCCCGATCTGCCCCTGCCACGAACGTTCTGCTTCTAGCCCCCCTCTTGCTACTCTCTCTCGTGCTCCATCCTCTTCCCTCCCCCTTGCCTCTTCCTCCATCCGTCCTCCCTTCCTCTGCCTTAGAGGCTGCTCGACATACACGTTGCAGGTAAGGAACAGATATGTCCCCTAGGGGATGCGATCGAAGACGAAGAGGGCGGGTATCGAGGGTTTGGGAAATACGCGTTGGATGACGCGCGAGCAGACATGAGCGGACATACTTACCATGATGGTTGCTGTTGTTGTTGTTGTTGTTGTTGTTGTTGTTGTTGCGGTTGTTGTTGTTGTTGTTGTTGTTGTTGTTGTTGTTGTTGTTGTCGTTGTTGTTGTTGTTGTTGTTGTTGGTGTTGTTGTTGTTGTTGTGGTTGTTGTTGTTGTTGTTGTTGTTGTTGTTGTTGTTGTTGTTGGTTTTTGTTGTTTGCTGTTTGCTGTTTGTTGTTTGTTGTTTGTTGTTTGTTGTTTGTTGTTGTTGTTGTTGTTGTTGTTGTGGTTGTGGTTGTGGTTGTGGTTGTGGTTGTGGTTGTGGTTGTGGTTGTGGTTGTGGTTGTGGTTGTGGTTGTGGTTGTTGGCATCAACGCCTATGTGTGCCCCGTCCCCAGAGGGGGGGGAGCAGGCCAGCAGGCCAGCAGGCCAGCACCCACACCCACACCGACGCCGAC